CAGAAATAGGCAAGAAACAGGTTCTTGCAGGTTGTGAGAATCGGCCCGCTTTTTTGGTTTTGTTTGTTTGTTTCTTTGCTTTTTTTTTTTTTAACCTGAATTCAGCTTTCAGCGCCTCCCTTAAATTGGCGGGATCAGAGCCTTATCTCGGCTACATTTTGAAAAGCTAATTCAGCTGTATTTTCATTTTGGGACAAAACTCCATTGACTTGGTGCAGGAGGATCTGGGAGGAAAGAAGACAGCAGTTCTCACATCCATGAGCAGTTTCTAGAAAGTCCAAGCTTGGGACAGATTGGATTGATGAAGAAGAAAAACCCTTGGCTGATTCGGGATGCTTTGTGTATTTTTAAACGTCGTTGCTTTTTGAGTAAACAATTCCCAGTGAAAGGAGTGGGCTTGCCAGAAAGAGGCGTGGTGGTTAGGGAAAGGGGGAAAGGGAGAAAAAACACCTCCGGATACGATCTTAGAATCTTGGTGCTTTTGTCCGAAGTGCCAGCTTGCAGAGCCCTTTGCTCCTAATTAAGGATGAATGTCTTATTTCTTCATAGCCTCAGAGTGTTAGAAAAGAAAACGTTTTTAACTTTGAAGGTTCCTCCTGAAGACTGTTGGGTTTTTTTTTTCATTGAGATGCAGTCCGTGTAAAATTTACCATTTAAACATTTATAATCAGTGGAGCTCGCACATTGATTGCATTGTCCCATCATCACCACTGACTCCTGAACATTTCCATCCGCCGAACCGGAATCCCATACCTATTAGCAGCCAACCCACTGTTAATTTTTTACTATAGTATTTTTTGCCTGATGAATGCAAGTGGAATAAATAGGAGTTAGTATCGACTTTTGAAGAACGTATAGTATTGTACCAACTTTAATTCGTTTTAAAGAAGTACTTCTGAATCCACGACGCTTTAGAGGTTCACCCTATTATAACTGCTTAAGTGGAATGCTAAGTGCATACGGATCAGCTTTTTTGTGCCTATCTGGCTTAGTGTGGGTCCTAGAAACTCGAAGGCAGAAATATCATTGGACAAGGAGAGAGAAACAGAAACACCACAGCTCTTTTTCTGGTTATCCCTTGCCAGAAATGCCTCTGTTTCTCCCTTCTCCTTTCTTTCCTCTCCCTGCTTCCCTAAGTACACTTACTTTCAAGAAACTCCATTTACTGAGTTCCAACTTTTATAACAGAGCCATTGAAGAATTATAATCTATATTATGAAAGGATTCTCTTCCCTACGAAATATATGTTTAACGACCTTCGCTTTCCACATTTCGTTATTTGTGTTCTACAGTGGTGGAAGGAAGAAGAAACATTTAGCTAGACTTGATGTGTCACAGACATCTGGAGAGAGACTTGGAGTTATTTTTTTTTTTTAACGTTTATTTATTTTTGGGACAGAGAGAGACAGAGCATGAACGGGGGAGGGGCAGAGAGAGAGGGAGACACAGAATCGGAAGCAGGCTCCAGGCTCTGAGCCATCAGCCCAGAGCCTGATGCGGGGCTCGAACTCACGGACTGTGAGATTGTGACCTGAGCCGAAGTCGGACGCTCAACCGACTGAGCCACCCAGGCGCCCCGAGACTTGGAGTTATTAAAACCTCCATGGACTCATTACAAAATGTCAGTGAGATAAATTCAAATGAAAAACATTTAGTTTGCATTTGACTAATGAGATAGGCATCTCCTATATTAGAGAGATCTACCCCTGTATTTTTCCCCCTTTTTTCTACTGTGCTTTTAAAATACTTTTGAACTGAGAACTTTTCACATTGACTGAATGGAAATTAATTGTGTTTGGGTAATGATTATAGGAAAAGATTCATTAATGCAACAGATAATTGATTGAGCATCTATCATATGCTAGGTACAATCCTTGCTGTTGGGGATAGAATAGTGAGGGGAAATAGGTCCTTGCTATTAGGGAGTTTAACATCCAATGGGTTAGTCGGTAAGCAAATCATTATGTGAATAAAATGTGAACTTGTGATTTTGATAAGTGATTAAATTAAAGGACAGAGGTACTATGGGAGCCTGTACCAGGAGATTCTGGTTTGGTGCATTAGGATCTGAGAGAGGAATAAGAATTGACTAGGCAAAGAGGGGGAAGAACAGGTGTCTGGGTAGAGAATAGCACGTACACACACACACACAAAATCTGTGAGCAGGGAAAACGGGCCATGTGATAAGAGACAGAGTGGCTGGAGTCACGAGTCCGAGGTGGAAATGGTTTGAAATGATGCTAGGAAAATTGGAGTGGGTGTAATGAGGTGGGGCGTCATAGACAAAGTTTCTTTTGAATCCAAAAAAGGGAAGGAAGTCATTGGATGATTTCCAGTGGTAGAATGGCTAATAAGATTTGCATTTTGAAAAGATTGCCCTGATGGTGATGTGGGAAGAATGGATGGGACCAGGGCAAGACTGGATAGAGAGAGAGACCATATAGGATGCCATTTGAGTTGTGCAGGCGAGAGAGGGTGGAGGTGTGTAGAGGTGGCTGGGGTCAGTGGGAAGGGTCTGGACTAAAGACAAAAAGGTGAGTCATCTGTGTAAGGTATGAAGCCATGTGTGTGGATAGAATCCTAGAGAAACATTTCGTAGTGAAAAGAGATGACCTAGAGCTGAGCCTGGAGTAAGAAACAGATTTACGGTTACTGACTCTACATTCATGAGATATATTGGCCTGTAATTTTCATTTCTTGTAATATTCTTGTCAAGTGTTGACGTCAGTATTATGGTGATTTCTAAAATAAGTGGGGAAGTTGTTCCCTCCACTGTTGTCTAAAAAGGTGGCTGCAAGGTGAGCTGTTGTTTTGTTTTGTTTTGCTTAGTGTTTGGTAGTGAGGTCATATGTGTTTGAAGTTTTTCTCATGGGAAGATTTTTAAATGATGAATTTAATTTATTTTTTTTAAGTTTATTTATTTATAATCTCCACACCCAGTATGGGGCTCAAACTGAAGACCCTGAGATCGAGTCACATGCTCCACCATTGAGCCAGCCAGGTGCCCCTTAATTTCTTCAGTAGGTAAAGACACATTCAGATTTCTTATTCATTTTGGGTCAGTTTTGCTAAGTTTGTTTTATGAAATTTGTCCATTTCATCTAAATTGTCAGATGTACTGGCATATATAACATAATAATCGCTTACTATCTTTTCAGTGTCCATGGGATCTGTAGTAATGTCCCCTTTCATTCTTGATATTGGTCATTTGCATTTTCTCTTTTTGTCTTGATCAGTTTTGCTAAGGATTTATCAATTTTATCATTCTTTAGAAAAACAATTTTTGGCTCTATTTCCTCTATTGTACATCTGCTTTCTATTTCGTTGATTTCTGTCCTATCTTTGTTATTTCCCTGCTTCTACTTCTTTAGAAGCTTTAATTTTATGTTCTATGTTTTTAAGATAAGAAACTAAATCATTGGTTATCAACAACTCTTCTTTTGTAATATGATCATTTGAGGCTACAAATGTCCCTTAAATACTACTTTAGTTTCCCCACAAGTTTTTGTCACTTGCATAAAAATGTTTTGTTTGAATTGTGGTTTTCTTTGAACCCATCGTTCATTTAGAAGTATATTTTGTAATTTCCATCCACAAGGGGATTTTCCTAGTTATTACTTTGCTATTGAGAGGCAATATATATAATACAGTGGTTAGGAACTTTGAGATACAGCCAAAATGCCTGGTTTTGTATCCCAGCTGTGTGATCTTGGACAAATAATTCATACCAAATCTTAACTATAAATAAGGACAATAATAACACCTGCATCACAGAGTTGTTATAAGGGTTAATTTAATATTTATAAAGCAATTTATAAAGGAATATTTATAAAGCAATATTTATAAAGCAATATTTATAAAGCAATTTATAAAGTGCTTACCCATAGTAAACACTGTATAAGTGTTTGACAAATAAAACAAGTCATTTTAGGTTGTTTGTGTTGTCGTTTAAAAATATGCTTTGTGGGGCGCCTGGGTGGCGCAGTCGGTTAAGCGTCCGACTTCAGCCAGGTCACGATCTCGCGGTCCGTGAGTTCGAGCCCCGCGTCGGGCTCTGGGCTGATGGCTCGGAGCCTGGAGCCTGTTTCCGATTCTGTGTCTCCCTCTCTCTCTGCCCCTCCCCCGTTCATGCTCTGTCTCTCTCTGTCCCAAAAATAAATAAACGTTGAAAAAAAAAAAAAAAATTTAAAAAAAAAAT